GAGCATATTATATTTAATTTCAATAAAAGTCTTTATCTATGGTAGCTTACACACTATTGCCCGGTTTCCGAAAGCCCGATCAATGTTAAAATCAACTAACTAGGTGTCAAATCTCTTGACAAGTCATCTGATTGGTTGTTGAGGGTTGTTGATAATTCAGTCAACCAATCAGATGACTAGACAAGAGATTAAATTGATTTTAACATTGATCGGCCTTTCGGAAACCGGGTGTATTTCTGTCAATCTTCGTCGGATATCGATTAAAGAATATCCGTCTGTAAGCCCACAAAGTTAAATAGACTAGTATTTTTATGGATTTGGATCAGAGGTAACTAGTATAAGTTATCTTTCGCTCAAAACTTTCCCAAAATCTCTTAATTGATCTAAGGAAAACCAGATCGATTTAAATTTGAGGGCTAAATAGAAGAGTGATAATATACCTATACTACAACTATTTCCCAACATTTTTTCAACGTAATGTGATAACTCCATATCAATCTGAAGGTTTTGGTTTGATACTTTATACAACTTTCTATGTTATATAAGATATTTTATGAATAAAACCTAAAACTATGATATCAAAGCAAATTAATGGTGAACATGATTCAAGGTGGAGTTATATTTTTATAAGCAACTGATGCCTAACCTTTCTGACATCAGCTCAAATAATATAAAGTTATGTTAGAAAACGAAAATATAATAATGAAAAAGCAGGGTTATCTTACTGTTTATCCACGTAAAATCGAAAACGTTTTAATTCGCAAAGCGTACACGTAAAAGTAACTTTTCCTAGACACACAAGTTCGAATAAAAACAACACATTTCTTGTGTAATAAAATCCTCACATTTCTTGCTGTTGTTTGAAACCTCATTTATTTTTATCAACTCAATAAAAGAATAACAAAACATGGTTAAGTGCTATTTTATTTACTTTTTTTTAACCACAAAGTTCTGTTTGCGTATTAGGTCCGACCAAGTAGGTAAAGTTTAAAGATATCAAATATGTTCTAATTCTTTTTCTTTGTTTTTACCGGATGATTATAACCTAAGCCTTAAATTGACTAAACGACTAAAATGAAAAGATGAATATTCCCAGCATTTACAATAAAAAAAAAACAAAACAATATTAACATCGGATTTTTGCTCCACTATCAATTCGAACCATAAAAAGTAGTTAACTAGATTTTATAACAACCTTTGACTTATTTCAGGAGGGACTCGCAGGCGAAAGAGATATTTGACATTATACAGTAATTATTTAAAGGGTTCTATACTACATTATAAAATAACGGTATACATATAAACAAATGACTAGTACAACATTAACCCTTAACTTGACCCTCAGTCGCGGTCCCTATATGCAATGAGCAATATGAGCATGTATTGTGTTTAAATTGGTTTTATTAAGTCATTTTTATCATAACAAACAAAAAACTTGAAACTTAATTGTAGCAAATTATTAATATTTCAAAATCGAAATTAATAATTAATTGTGCAATAAAAATTTTATCATAATCACTTAATCACACACATACTTATATCGAAAATGTAATTAATTTTAATGTAAAATAAAATAAAAAAAGCAGAAATATAAGAAAATTAAGTTCAACAAAATAGGATTTTCATTATTTTGTATATATGTGTATCTTAATTACAGTTCCTAACATGGGTCTGCAGGAAGAAATTTAAATAGGAATGTCGTGTCCCACACGAACGGATCGGCAGGAACGGAGTATTCCAATGTGAGAGTGAGGTTACCGGAGGCACAATCCTTACCTACTATGCATGTTTTATAGCCTTAAAATCATCAGCATTCATGAGTGTATCAGCTCTGAAGAAATATAGTTATAATTAAAGAAAAAATTAAACATAAGTGCGGCCCCTGGGGTACTCCAGGTATGATAGTCTTTAGTCTTTCTTTCTTTTCTTTCTATATTTTATTATGTGTGAGATATGAGTTTAACCAATCAAGCAAAGAACCACAAACACCATATTATACTAACTTAGAAATATGGATCATATTTGAGTCTTATCAAACGCCTTACTGAAATCCATATAGTACAGTTTAAAGCCTAGTACGCTAACTCGCTCTTCTGTAAATAGTACCAAGTCAGACACTGTCAACCAAGTGGGGAAGTACCAAGCTTCGATGCAAAAGGGTAGGCTTGCCGGAGTGATACCGTGAAAAATCGACATGAAACAATCACAGCGTTGTGTGTTGCCGTATGAGTGAGGTTACCGGAGGCGCAATCCTTTCCCTCCCCCCAGAATTTATAGGTACAATCACAAGTGGCATCTATATAAGGTACGTCGAAAAATATTAGATATAATTTATTTATACAAATACTTCTTTCTACTTTACCAAAATAAATTAGTTAAAAGTTACGAAATAAAAATTTCTACAAAAAATAAAAGGTATAAGTTATATTGACATTTGCAATTCAATATTTATAATATATTAAGTACATTCGTATTTGATACAAAATTGACAGTCAAATGTTTTATTATAATTCATTTAAATTTAAATTAAATTAGTTAATTACCAATTACATGATTTAAGACTACTTATTGCCACCAGGCAATAATTATGTTTCATACTGGAGTAAATAAATGAATATTGCTATCTAACTGTAATGAACTTAAATAACTCTCAATTCAAACAAAATTCTTTTTATTCTATAATGTTCTTAAGCCAATTATAAGCCTAATTAAATACAGTATTGGTACTACCTATACATGAAACTTTATTCGGGGCCGGCTCGACCGGCTTGTTAGCCCAGCCTCACAGAAAACTGGCGTGAAACAATCACAGCGTTGTGTTTCATCGTTTTTATGATATTTCTTTCGAAAGTTTGAATGAAAACTAATGCCGCGTAATCCCTTTTAAGCCAAAAATACTGATTCTATTCACACTAAACAATCCCGTAAAATTTTCTAGTGAACACGAGATAAAGTGATTTAAATCAGTATGCATGTATATGTATGTAGTTTTCGTAGATTTGCTGAAGTCATAAAATGCTCGAGTGTGGTTCCATTCCATGATCTGGTCAACTGTGTATTGCCCACGTCGTAACGTAGTATGGGCAGATCAATGATCAGAAATCGTTTCATGATGGGACCAAGCAGACTCGCGGTTTACAATATTTAAACATGTCGTAAATTTACTAATAAATAAATTTAGTGGTAGTGCGACTTTTACGTAGGCAGCTAAATGATTTAGTGTTGAGAAGTTTTCCCCTAACCTAACCTGATTTGTCCAGGTCCCAAACATTAACTCCAAAAGTAAACAGCCGCAATTGTAATAATAAATCCTAGTTGAATCCGCAAGGCAGCTTGTGGCGAGCTTTTGGGCAGTGGCGACCCCACGGACCTGACTTCCGGGAGGTGTCTTGTTCTTCATCTCCTGTTAGTCTTCAGTGAACACTGATGAAGAACGAGCCCTCCTACCTCATTCTTGCCTTAATTGACTGGCTTGAGTGGAGAGTTGGAAATTCACAAGAGTAGGTAAGGAGTTGAAGGAGACTCGGAGGAAGGATGTATCTCAGTAAAATGCTGGTAGGGGTCTTGAACGTACTTCTGGGATTACTCTAATAGCCGTGGGATGCCTCTCTTTCCCCAAGCAACTCGACGTATGTTGCCCCTGTGTCGCTACATGCTAGCGACCGTTTCGTTTTCGTATCATATCCACCAGTCCATAGCAACTCATACCCATAACTATTTCAATTATTACCACATTTCGCAATAGTCCTGCATCAACCGGAGATTATCCTTGGGTGCACTTTCATAGTGCATACAGGGATAGTTGCCGGCTGATGTCCCATTTCACTTATATTCAAGTTGTTCAACGGGCCTCTGCGAGTTAGCTTCGGCCCTCCTCCTCGTACGCCTTACAAAAGGTCCGGGATTCTGTAATCCCGTGAAAGGAAACGATTCCTAGTTGTAATTATTCGACTCAAGTAGTAACTAATTCCATCGATAATTTTCCATTTAAAACATGTGGAATAATTCTTTCATTCATTTTAATTCATTCTAATTAAACGTTTTTTAACTATTAAATCGTGAAATATAAACGATTTAATGGCCTGGTCACGAAATGCGAACATTTCATAAAATTGTTAAGCATATCTACGATGTCGACACGTTATGTAGGTACTTGTAGGTTTACTAGGCTATTTGCATTTTCATAGAAATCAATCCTTTTAATTTATATTGCAATATAAGTCAAGACGTCCTCTCCTTGACACTGAAAAATCAAAACACATCAAACAATTAAAAACATTAATAATATAATTGAACATTGTACCAAAATTTCAATGTCGCAGGCATTATTGAAATTTTGGTAAGTTTCATATTCTGACTAAAATAGTAAACTTCACTTATATCCGTTTAGGTACGAGGTTGACTGTTATGACTCTAGTCATAAACGGGTTATAAATTTATTATTCTCTATATCTATAAGAGTTCACTAATGAGTCGGATAAGCTGAAAATTGAACTCTCGTATTAAATTCAAAGACTCGACAGCGAAAGGTTAATGAGAAAATGGTGTACATACTGTAAATGTACGAACCTGTTCTTTACTACAGGTTTGTTTTATTAGGTATTATATTTTCTAAAAACTACAAACAGCACCTAGCCTTTGGGGCGAGAGACTGTAAAATTTTTACCATACTTACCGCACCCCTCTTATAGACCTGGTCCGAAACCTTCATGGTGCAACGTCAGTTATGGTATATCCCTAAAAATGATACGAAAGCTGCAAGTACTCTGTCGACACCAATTGAAAACAGATCGTAATTCCCAAAATTAGAAAATACTGACTTCTTAAAAAATATTAGCTATAGTTGACGTAATCAATTGATCTATAAACAATTAATTCACACATAAATTTACAATAGGTAGCCTTTATACGAAATTACAAAACCGTACTAATGCCTGCTACATGTATATTAGATGGTAATCAATAAAATGTCGATATGTTAGGGCAATTTCCCAGTAATAGTTTTAAGGTCCCCCAGTGAAAACGTTTTGAAAAAGTAGGGGATAGAATTTCGGGGGAGTGATTTGTTGTAATCAGGTAATGTGTATTTAATTTGATATCCTAATAAATTCAGCGTTATTATTTAGACCAAAATATGAGATAGGTTCTAAGATGATTTATCGATTAAATTCGATAAATTTAAAAATCGAACATTATAATATTGTATTAAAATATATAATTTAAAAAACTCCTTTTAAAATATATATAAGAACAAAAAAATTAATGAATTATTCGTTATAAATTCTACCAGAAAGAAAAGCCAGCATTTTTTTACGCAACAACAAAAAATGTTGTTAGTAACATTCTGTTAATGCAATTCAGCACTGTGCTTACGTATGAAAAAGTCATCAAAAACATCGAAAACAATTACAAATAATGTACTTACAACACTTATGAATAAAATATTAGTATTAGTTAACGAATTAATCTTTGACCTACATAATATGCACTTCAGTTTACATATCGGTATTTCATTTCGGTTTTAGAAAAATGACATCGGTCGTAGACGTCGCTGTCGAACAGAATGGAAATACCACAAAGATGATATTCTACCCGCTGGTGTTGATAGCATCAGCGGTATGGTTGTACCACCGATGGCACATGCAGTCAAGGATGTCCAGGATGGGCAATATGCTCCCAGGACCGACAGCTCTCCCGTTATTCGGAAACGCCCTAATGGCTCTATTTAAAAAGCCTGAACGTGAGTACATGATATCTTTATTACTTTATTATGGCCCTTCTACTTGGTGGAAGGCTCGGGCCCACTGTTATCGCAGTGGAAAGAGTGTACTTTGAGGAGATGTTGGGGAAATGTCACGGTATCCTCACCTTCCACCTGACGGAGATGCTAACCGGACACGGAAGTTTCCAGTATGGTATCTACTTCGGGTCAAGCTGAAAGGAAACAACGGGTGTCATCATTGTGAGGACCACCCGCAGGACACGATGCAGCCTAATTTGGCAGTGATAAGAGGGCAGGGAAGTGATCGGCAGCGGTGAACTCTCACGCCCGGTCTTAGTTGAGGCCATGGCGTGGAACGAGACGAACTGTGCCGAACGTGTCCTCCTTTGCGAAGCAGTCAAGCTTTTAAAAAAAGGAGCAAAGCCTGTGATGGAACTACGTCTGAAGCGTGAGGATAACTCACGCCTCAGACGTCACAGGAGGTACTTCGGGCATTAGGGATGAGCGACCAGAACCAATCTCAAAAAAAAACCATTTGGTCACCACTGATAGGGCCCAATAGGGCACCATCAGGTACAAGCACAATAATGTACCACAGCCCCAGCCAGAAACAGGATTAATTAGCAAGAAGTGTTTGAGTCTGACACTCTCTTAATGCAATTCATTAATTTCAATTGTTTAACATGTGTTGACCTTGTTGCAGAATTCATTAAACTTGGTTTTGAATACGGTGACAAATATGGCTACGTGGTTCGTGGCTGGTTGGGTTCAAAGCTGATCATCTTTCTCGCAAACCCAGAAGATGTCGAAGTTATATTGAACAGCCAAGTGCATATTGACAAGGCTTCGGAGTATAGATACTTTGAGCCTTGGCTAGGAGAAGGGCTTCTTATCAGCTCAGGTAAGATTTACATATCTTTTTTTTATGTGATTAGTCTGCAGACGACGGATTACGCCCATGGATACTCACATAGGAGTTATAAGTACGTTGCCGATCGTTTGGGGATTAGGGATTGGGGAGGGATTAGATGAGGGAAAGGATTGGACCTCCGGCTCTCTCACTCACACGGCGAAATACAACGCTGTGGTCACGCTGATCAGTCTCAATAATAGATATAATATTTTTTTATGTACCTATCTACCAAATAATGTTATTTATAATTTTCTTGTAGGTGCTAAATGGCGCTCACACAGAAAAATGATCGCTCCTACATTCCATATAAATATCCTGAAATCTTTCGTCGATGTATTCAACCAAAACAGTAAGAGTGTGGTTGAGAAGATGCGGTCTGAAATTGGGAAGACTTTTGATGTTCACGACCACATGAGTGGCGTTACAGTTGACATCTTATTGGGTAAGTTATTGAATTACTATCATGAACTTATATATTTACCGGTATTATCTATTCCTTTTTATTTTGCGAAACTAAACCTAAATAGCTATAGTTTAGTCCTATAACAATTATAATATTACCATAGTATAAAACTTTATACTATGATATTACGTTTACTGCGAACCGCACAAAAATCGCCAATTCCTTTTTCAAGGAAGTTCTTATTCTAAGTATCGGTCGAAATTGAAGTATTTTTAAAGTGCCGCCTTTTCGATACTTATACAAACAATATGTTTTTTTAATACAAAACTTCACAATAATTCAAATAGTAAGTCATAGTGAACTTGATGTTAACTGCAACAATTAAAATCGACTTATTAATATAACCTAAATGTGGCGTTAAAAGAAAGTACATATTAAATTGCTCTTTATTTTTGATGCGATTAATATTGCTAGTAAAAAGTTTTTATTTCACAAAGATAATGCAGTTTATCTATGTATATAAAAATTTACGAATTTGGCTAATTTTTGATATTGAATTATTCGAGGAAGTGCAAAGGTTTGTACTTAGAGAAAATTAAAATAAAAAATCTTGAAAAAGTGTAACATCGACATCCAAGCGAGCCGCGGGCGACCGCTGACAACAGCTCTACTAGTTTCAAGTCACAACTGGACTTTTCTTTTTCACTGTACTGCTCGTGAATTAAATAACCCAAAAGTTATTCGTTATTTTAAATCTTTAACATAGATCTAATATACCTATAATATTCTCGTGTCACAGTTTTCGTTGCCATACTCCTCCGAAACGGCTTGACCAATTTTGATGAAATTTTTTGTGCTTATCCGGTATCTATGAGAATCAGCCAAATTCTATTTTTTATCCCCCTAAGTAATAGGGGTAGTCCACCACTAGGAAATTATTTATATGGCAAAACGTTTGCCGGGTCAGCTAGTAATCCAATAAGTATATCAAGAGTAAATGATCCTAATATTATGAATCCTAATATTCAAGGGTAACTAAAATTAGATAGGCATCTAAAATAAATGGAACTTACAAAATATAAGCATTAGTGCGATATACACAGATTCTTCAAAAATACTTTGTGCTAAGTTCTTAGTATAAGTACAAGTTTAGCGGTATTGATTACATAACATCAAAGAAAAGTAGTAAGATGGCAGTTAGAATAAATTCAAGAATAAATAAAATGTATTATAATTACTAAAAAGTGTATATTAAAATATTTTAATATATATACTGATGTATTATATAGAGATGTGAATAAACCTGGTTAAATTTCAGTGTGTAGAAAAAAATTAGAGCAGATCTGAATTTTTTTCTGTCTCAATGGTTAGTGTTTATGTTTTAAAAATAAATCTTGCCAATCGCAACTTTCTTTCTTTGAATTTCTTTAAATTATTCAACGGTTTTATTTAGGTTTTTGTATTATTTTGATTCTGGTATTAACTATATACTGCTTATACATTACTTACTATACTCGGAATTTTAATTCCATTCCAGATTTGACAATTTCAGTGTTGCAACTACACACGTAATAAATAGTGACGTTGCGAAATTATTCGTAATGGAAATCGAATATTTCTGAATCGATTCCTCTTTTTTATAAATTTACTCTAGTAAACTAAGTTTATCAGGAAATAAAATATTTCTGAACTGATAATTTATTTTCGACAATTAATTAACGATCTGAGACTTTTCTTTTGTAATTGTGTGTGAAATTAATAAAAAATGTGATCATGAAGGAACATGACAAATAAAACAGACATTTTATAAATTGTCGCCGTCATCGCTATCGCTATCGCTGTTACTTTCTGTTACATTTATGAATTGTGTCTGTGATATTTATTGTCAATTAACATATCTAGCTTACTCATTTTTTCCTCTTCTTTGACAACATGGATACGCATATAGACCATTCGGTAGCCGTAATTTATTTAATGCCTTCATGAAACTGATTCTTTGATTGTTTATCGATTTTTGTGTTCATCACTACACTGTTTTATGTGGTATCATTATTTCACAAAATGACAGTAGGCCATGTCAAATCAGGAATCGAATTAAAATTCTGACTATAGACAATATCCAAAAAGGTTAACAATCAAACCCATACGAGTAATCCTGGCCGATTTTGTCGAAAAAAATACAAAGCTGCTATAAACTGAAATTAAAAAGATAATATAAAATTTACGTTTATGGCATCTTACATTATTTTGCCTAAGTAGCCAGTATCTAAGCACAGATTATGAAAGAAGACAACAATATATCTCAACCTCCTTGCTTAAAAATTTTAATGATGTGAAATATTGAGTTTAATTTAATTGTATGTAATATTTACAAATATATTCATTATTTCCCTTAATTTAAATTACGTATGAGTCACATTAAATTTTTATCAATCATTTTAATATTTAGAGCAGAAGGAAACAATAGCGGCATAAACTCATAAGTCGTATTTCACTATTGTCTTGCTTTCTACAACTACAATGAAACAAAAAAAAAGATAATCAGTGTCTCTTTTTAATTTTCCTACAAGACATAATAACAGTACTTCATAAATAATAATGCAATTAATTATACAGACTAAGTACTAATGAATGCAAAAAAGAAATGATTGTACTACAAATCAAAGGTCACTTTTAATTTCAATTACAGTGCCATAATTTTCCGACGTAACATATTTACTTACACCTTATATGAAACGCAAATTAAAGTAGGTAGCTTAGACCTTTGAAAACAATAGCAAACATGTTTAATGAATTATTCAAATCAATTGAATTGCTGTGACCATAACCTTGCATTATTTTTTCATTTTATCCTCACTTGAACTTGATGACATTCAATTAATTTTCTGAAGTTTAGATAACTCCCATTTTTTCGTCCTAACGATATCAAAAGTAATCACATATACTTACGAGTATTAGGTACAGATAGAATCCATAATTTTATTAACCAAGGCATAAAACCAAATGGAACGCGTTTCGTACCTACTCAATGCTTTTTGTTGCAGTCCTCTTTTCAACCAAACCTCTTTAGTTTACCTTATATGAAATAGTTCAAAATTATATTTACAGAAACTGCAATGGGCATTACTAAAAAGACTCAGGATCAATCAAGCTTCGATTATGCGATGGCTGTGATGAAGTAAGTCAATCCATTATTTCATTATAGGTTACATTGCTCAATCGTAGGCTGAATCAGGCAGAATAGTGGCCAAATGGCAGTCATTGCAAGTAAAAAAAAAACATTCAAATATCGAAGTGCTATCATTCTTATAAAATAATATAGTTTTATACAGTTGCGGCTTATTTAACATTAAGAGCATTGAAGATGTTTTTAAGCTATCTTTCTTTTTCAGAATGTGTGATATTATCCACCAGAGGCATTATAAATTCTGGTTGCGACTGGACAGTATTTTCAAATTCCACCCACTCTACAAAACACAGCAGAAACTTTTGGACATTATACATGGACTTACTAATAAGGTAAACATAATGTATGTACCTAATAGAATTTGCTCGTACATCACAATGTCAAAAGTTGACCTACACGTGTTTACAGCACGTGTTCCAATATATTTTTCTATACATACCTATAATAAACATTTAATAATATAGGTATATAATAAAAATTGTAACAAGTAGACTTAGGTAGATGAGTACCTACATTAAAAATATTGAAGAAACACTAATATAACGAGTCTTTATAGAGCAATAGCATATAGCAATTATAAAAAAGGAGTTTTTGGAATAATGCTATCTGTGTCTAGGTATGTATCCGCGTAACGAAAGAACTAACTACTGAATAGAGTTAAATACATTTTTGCTAAAAGTCTAAGTAAAATTAAAGCTCAATTTTTAAGCAGAAAAATGTATTATGAAATATCAGCCGGGGTATCGAGTCAAGCGAAATAAGGTACTTACCGCCCCGCCCTGGCCTGGATCAGAAGGAACGGGGGGGTTTTTAGTCAGTAAGAGCCTGATACTCGCTCTTCTTGCCTCAACATGGGCGAGTGAAATCATTTGATGACCTTTCACCTTCCTCCAATTACATATAAGTTTTATGAATCTTAATACCACACGTTAGTTGTGGACAAAAGCATTTGAATTAATTAATACTAGAATAATCTGTTTGTAACCATATTTACTGCAGTAAGGTGAAATTTTAATGAATAGGTATGACATTTGTAATTATTTGTCGTATTTCAATGATAATGACACACAATTTATTTTGTATTTTCTATACTAATTGAGTAGTGTTTATACTAATTGAGTAGGTAAGTAACTTAAATCAAATCTATATAAAATCACATTATCAGCCTATAAGTGCTCACTGCTTAGCAAATGCCTCTTCTCACACGAAGAAGACTTGAGCATCATCGTAATTACCACGCTTGCTTAAAGTGGATTGGCGATTTGAAACTTAAAATTATGGGTCGAGATTTCCTTACGATGTTTTCCTTTACCGTACACCTATGTCATTGGTGTCTAAATAATCATAAAAAGTCACATCGGTACTTGTCAAAGGTTTCGATTACGCACGCGTGTATGCGACATGAGAATTGAGCGCCTCTTAATTATTATAAGTTTGAAATCGGCAATCCGCCTGGAGCAAGCGTGGTGATTAATGCTCAAACCTTCTCCGTATGAGAAGAGGCCTTTGCTCAGCCGTGGGCATTTATGTATAGGCTGATGATGTGATATGAATGCTAAACTTTTTTGTATCGCCTAATATATTGTAGTACAAAGTTAAGCTACGGATAATCTGGCACCTTGACGTAGTAGATACTTGTCTAAGGTTGCGTAAAAAAATTAACACGGACAAAAACATGAGTAAAAGTCATACCAAATTAATAAAACTGTAATTAAGTTCATTATTGTATTTTAATTAAATATACTTACATCATTATTCCATTGTTGTCTTAACATATTATTTACAAACACACGTTCAAGTAAAAGTATCCCTTATGATAGTGGCTTTATAGTTGATTTTTGTAGTTAATATAGTTTGAAGTAGTGGTAAATAGGCGAATTGTTTTATTTTCCATTATTGACACTTCGCAGTGCCAATAAATGACTAATCAATCAATCACTTGAAGGTAATTTAATGTCACCATTCGCATTTGAATTGAAAATGATTTGACGCGTTATGTTTGTATAGCAAAGTTCGTATTTGTTGCATAATATTAAACGGAACTGTGAAATTAAAATTGATGTAGGCATATAATAATATCTCCAGACAGATTCCAATCAATCGACAATTACCATGCCATTGGCCAGTTATTATCACGATAATTATGTATATGCTGTCTGTCTGTGATCCTCGATGTTCGAAAACCATTAAAAATATAACACGCGAATTCATAAATTTAAAGTGTCTTTTGGCTTTAAGAATCAGAATGGTAGTCAAATCACCATATGCTAAGGATTATCAACATCAACATCATCAGCCTATAATTGCCTTGAGCAAAGGCCTCTTCTAACACGGAGAAGGTTTGAGCATTATTCACCACGTTTGCTCAAGATGGATTGGCGATTTTAAACTTATAATTAGAAATTATAAGTCCAAGTTTCCTTACGATGTGTTGACCTAAAAAATCATAGATAGCACATTACTTATACAAACTAAAAAAAAGTCACATTGGTACTTGCCAGGTTTCGAACTATGTGTATGTATACTCATGTATGAGGAGCGGGCGCCTTAACCTCCGGGCCACCACGTTAAGAAAGGATAAATTCACCTAATGATCAAAATTTCTTTCTTCAAGGTCATTAAGCTGAAAAAGAAAATCTACCAAGAAAACAAAGCTAAAGGTATAATCCCACCCAGTCTGCAAGAGTTGACTGATGGCAGGGCTCTCAATAACGATACTGTTTTAGCGAACAATGCTAAAACTCTGTCAGATACAGTCTTCAAAGGCTACCGTGACGATCTGGACTTCAACGACGAAAATGACGTCGGTGAGTAATTAAAGTAATTGCTATCATTTAAGAATAAAATTGAAAATGCTAATGAAAAGAAACAGTTCACGAAACTCATTTGAATTTGACGCCAGAGATGAGAAATTGATTCTAAAAATCGATTAAATAATCTGATTAGGTGTCATTTAATGTTGCGTGACAGTAATAAAAAAGGAAGAAGTTGAACAAATAGTTTTTTGCTCTAGCCACACAAAACAAGAAACTCGATCACAAGACACGCCATGCTAAATAAACGATAACTACGCTAAAAGCATTTGAATATACTTTACAACAAGATTATACCTGCAGTATTAATGTTTAAAAATATATGGCTTATATGTTACAGGTGAGAAAAAACGATTGGCCTTTTTGGATCTGATGATTGAATCAGCTCAAAACGGTACCAACCAGATCAGTGATCATGAGATTAAAGAAGAAGTTGACACTATTATGTTCGAGGTATATATTGCAAATTGAACTCTGAAAAGGATATCAAATAGGTTTAAAGTCATTTATTACATTGAAATGTATGCTGTTTTAGGGACACGATACTACTGCAGCTGGGTCTAGCTTCGTACTATGCCTCTTGGGTCTTCACCAGGATGTACAAGCCAAAGTTTACGATGAGTTGTACCAGATCTTCGGTGATTCCGATAGGCCCGCCACCTTCAATGACACTCTACAAATGAAATACTTAGAGCGTGTGATCCTTGAAACTCTTAGAATGTACCCACCTGTACCTATTATTGCTAGAGAATTGAAGAACGACGCTAAAATCGGTAAGGGAAATAAGCAATACTGTTAAAAGACAAAATTAAAAGTAAGTAAACTCCTTTTTTATATAATTTTACTATGAACATTCCAGTAACCAACAACTACGTGTTGCCTGCGGGAGCTACCATAGTTATAGCAACGTACGGCATCCACCGCCACCCGCAACACTACAAGGACCCTGACACCTTCAACCCAGACAACTTCCTTCCTGAGAACATGGCTAACAGGCACTACTACAGCTACATACCCTTCAGCGCTGGACCCAGGAGTTGTGTCGGTTAGTTAATTATTAAATACTCCTCACATAATCTAATTGGGTATTTTCCTCGGTCAAAAATAAATTCCTTCTAGATTTCAGTACAATTAAATATTCAATCTAAGTCTTTTATTAATGGATTTGACTGTATACCTACTTAAATTTTAATTTTATTTTTTTATATTTAGTTTTTAAAGAAAAAAATATGCTATTTGACAAAAAAATGTGATGACGTCACATTTCTGTTTTCCATACCAAATCCATAGAACAGTTTAGTTTTTGTCATGTTTCAATAAAAATATTGAAATTGACTAATCGTGAAATAACGTAAAACCACACAATTGTCTACTTTATGAGAAAGAAAAGATAAAATAATTTGGTCACTTTCCAATATTTCGTTCTTTGTTTGGTTACAATTACCATTTTAATTTCTCATCGATTTGACTTAAACACATTAGAATACGAAACAAATGACAGATGCAAAAGTACCTAATATATTGAACGACCCCTCAGTGACAAATTCATTTCACTGAGTGAAAAGTGGTTCAGTAATATCAGAGAAAAATGGATTAAGTTTTTCTAATTAGGCGTAGGTAGAATTAAAATTGAGGAGTCATAAATCTGTTGCCGGCCTTACTCAGAATTGTACTTGCATAAAATTCGTGAACCAAACGTCTGGCTACTCGCATAAATAATTATTTAAGGCAAAGATTACAAATCGTGACAGCACTTCGGTCCTCACTTCCTTGTCCATTATCATTTAGTAGATACACACTGAATAATTTGATTGATCTACTAACGAATGTCACTTTTTAATGTTTTATGCACCACAATTACATAGTTATTTAGCTGAAAACCTAACAAGCCCATTGGCTCCTAATTAACTTCTCATACCTACATGTAGGTATTTTTCCGTACAGCTCCCAATACGAAGTACGTAGTGTAGGTCAGACTGCAACTTGGATGAACAAGATGAATAAATTCCACTAGCGAAGCATTTTGATTTTACTAAAATTATATGAATGAAGGAATAGCTTTTATTAGTTCCTATGATATTAGCTAACTTTTGCAATGTCTTTACAGGACGCAAGTACGCTCTTCTAAAACTGAAGATTCTGCTGTCAACCATCTTGAGAAACTACAAAACAATTTCTGACATTCCTGAAGAGGATTTCCAGCTTAAGGGAGATATCATTCTGAAGAGGTCGGATGGGTTCAGGATCAGAATCGAACCAAGAGTAAGGGTCCCATCCAACGCAGCTTAACTTATTTGTAAAACTTGATACATAAACATACTTAAATAGGTTGTTTAATTGTGGTCGATGTCAAGACTATTAGAGCTAAGCCTGATTTTTTATATTATCTTTAACCAGAATGAAAACTAATTTAAATCACCAAAAAGGTCGATAATACCAGAAAAATAGATAAGAAGAAAATGTGGATATCACAAAAACCTTGAAAAATTAAATTTATCAAAAAAAACTTTTTTAAAATATTTTTTATTTAACGGAAACTTGTATTTTTTAATTTATGAAAAAAATCTGTTATATCTAAATTTATTACATAATATGCATGCATTATTCACGATAATAGCTTCTATGACATGTCATTAGTACTAAAAAAATATTAGATTATTCAGAAAATATGTAAAGATTGTTTCTATTTTTGATTAATTTTCTGTTAAATTATTACCAGTGCGTCAAGATATCGTTATTTTAAAACCTGATTATTAATTTTTGTAACGATAATTGTTATACGTTTTAGTTGTGTCATTTTAAGGTCAGTTGACTAATTATGTCTTTAAATAAAAGTTAAAAAATAGCTTGTGGTTTTATTACACCATCATTTTTTGGTTTTAAATAGATGCCATCAACTTTTTTAGTTGTTAATAGGTACCTACCTTAATGTGATATTAGTTTAATCGTAAGTTTGATCATTATTTTTTCCCTTCATAAAGGTATGTAATGTTTGACTCTGTACTATTGTTTACATCTGTATTTCAATCATCTTATCGAGAGAACAAAAGTTATTTTCTTATTCTAGATTTAGTTTTGGAGCTTTTATCTACACTAATATTATAAAGAGGTAAAATTTGTATGTTTGTAAGTTTGTATGTAGGGGGTAATCTTTGGTACCGCTGGTCGGAATGCCAAAATTCTTTCACTGATATATATAGCTACAATGTTGCTGAGTGCTATAGGTTATAAAACATCACGCTACGATTAAATGGAGCCGAAGAAACCGCGCGAGAATAGCTAGTATCAAATAAATTTGCCGTATGTGTAAAGCTACCCATCAAATCTACAAAACCCCTAAAGGTTGGCAATGCACTTGCTCCTCTAGTAATGCGAATATCAAGTAATCAGTCCGCTAGTTTGCTACCGTATTCCATAAATAAGATATTGCTAGACCTTGAAATAAAGTAACACATGTAAAAAAAAAATAATCACACAAATATGCGTTCCAGTTTCGATTTTAAAAGTCTATAGAGTAAGGTTTTAGTGCTAAAATAAAATAAATTTATAAAAAGAATAATTATAATTCAAGTTTGGTATGTAAAAATACTTCTTAACATAATAAACATAAACAACAGCTGTTCCCAACCATTTTTTATATAAAATAAAATGTAAATAAACTGTTTACAAAAACTGGTTTACATTTATACTCAAGTTTTATTTACATAATTTTGCGAACTATTTTAAATTTGAAGAATTGCTACTTGTAAAAAAAAATATGAACAGAAGAAGCTACCGTTTTTTGTCGAAATACATTTCATTATTTGATTTATAAAAAAAAACAATAGAAGCATGAAGTTTGTTCGTTACCAAATTCTTTCTATATGGACACGATTTAAAACAAATTATTGATACTTATAACTAAATCAATACATCAATTTTCTATTTACAAGATGGCACAATACTTAATTAGTTATAAAGAACTGAAATTAGACATTCAATTGACCAAAAAACTTGCAAAACTTTACGGCGACGCGACAATGTGCGACTAAATGCTTGTAAAGTCTTATGCCCTGCCAGATGTTTACGCGATGTCAACATTTAGCTGCATATAAGTTGCGTCGTAATTATATTTTGCAATATCACGTGTTTTTTTTCTGCCTTCATAACAACGGTTTAAAAAAATACCCTAACTCAAACTTAAAAATAATCTTTTTAATAATACGATACTCCTGCATAGGGAACATTAATGCAGTAATTTATAAGATATTTTGGGTCGTACATAAAATTTATAGGTACTTTAGTGGGTTTAAATACGTTAAGCACAATAAAATAAACATAATACAATCATTTAAAATCTGTTAGAAGAAGAAAATATAGTATTCGTCAACTATTTAAATATATAATATAATAATGTGAATATAATGCTTGCGATTGGGGTATAAAGAATGCTATGAAAGCGTCTTCTTCTAAATCCTTTAAAAATGTATCAATTTCTGAATTATTTAATTCAATGTAATACTTACTTTTATATTGGCAAATTACACTTAAATCTTATAAACTACTGCACTGATGCAATTGGCAGTGATTAATTCACATTATGTTATTATACAAATCTTTGGTTAATTTTAATTTCACTTCACTTCATTATTCAATCAATTTACTATATTTCTACCTGTATTACTAAGTCTTTTTATGGAAAGGGCGGCGAAAGAGACTTTTAAGAAAGAGTTCGTTCGTTTCTTGAAGGTTTGATGATCATATCGGTTCGGAAATACCGAAATAAGTGTTGATTCAACATTGTTCACACTTATTTATGAACAAAATTGTGTAATTAAAACTTTCACCTATCTAAGTACCTACATTACATCTTTGTAATGAAGTGAAGAGAAGGTAAGGTAACTTATTTATGAATAACACTATCAGTGTCTTACTAGTTAAACTTATTCTACTAAGGAACATCACATGCAGATAAACCCAGCCAGCCTTACTCAAAGGCACTGCACGAGTTAGATCAACATTGTTTTAGTCTTTGCTAAAACCTTTTTCAATAGTACACAAATCTTGCCTTCATACCTACTATAAGTTAATTAAAGTATTCTATTACTGTTCGTGCTACCTTTTCGGTATACTAAATATTCTATACTCCACAGCATGACACAGACTAAACAACAGAAGCTCATTGCAAAGAAACAGTACACATAGCTGCCCGTAGCTTCGTACAACACCCCTGAAAAAAAAACAATTGTAGTTCAAAGTATCAAGTATCAAAACTTTTCGCTGTGTGATAGATAAGTAATTTCCGTCAGAACAAAACTTAGTATGTTTTTAATTAAAAATGAAAACAATAATAAATTGAATTATAAGTTATTAAATTATCAATCATGTACAAAGATATCTTGGACATTGACAAATTACTTACATGACTAAGAATTTGAAAATATGCAAGTAATAAGCGATATACTAATGGAAGTATCAAAACGATACAATCTTACTTAACTTACTTATCTCACTTAATAATATTTGATATATCATTAAACATAGATAAATATGTAATTAAAAAGAAACTAAATCTACCGATCTTTGGCTTTGCAAATCTTATCGTTCAATATCTAAACAATGGACGTGAATCTTTTCTGATTAGTAGATAGAAAACAATCGAAGTTTGTTTTTATAGGCATTGAGCCGGATTACTTACCAATCATGGGATCAGCCAACATCATGAGTGTACCGGAGAACAATATGTGTAGGGCCAACGCTGCAGGGAACCTGTCCGGTGCTGCGCCAACTAGGACTAGAGGAAACAACACCTGGACTGAACATCTCACTAGCCCAGAGACTGCCGTGATACCAAAAACAACCCACAATGAACTTGTAGCTACTAAACCTGGAAATAAACAAAAAACAAACATTTTTAATTGCACTCCTGACACGATTGATATACCTATGAATATACAAAATTTAAATAAAACCATAATCGTAATAATACTGTACCATATCGGAATCAAAGGTTCGCAAATTAATAAGCTACTGAAAGAAATAAAAATTCGTTGGTTGTTAAACTGATTAAAGAGGATCAAAACGTATCATAAAATACTTACCAATACGAAGGAAAACAGTGATACAGGTGCCAATGAAGAAAATTAATCGGCTGTCGACAACAATAAAATAAGTGACTACAGCAAGCACTAATCTTGCAAATAAATCAGATATCGCCCCGACCATCACGCACGTTGCTACCTGCATCTGTAAAATTTGGAAGAAAACATACATTAACAATCACTAAGCAGCCGCAGGTGATATGTTTATTAATTGAAACGATAACTTTTAAGATAATCTTTCTTTTAATCTACATAACACGCCGATCGTTTGCAAAATAATTCAGTATCCGGATTTACTAAGTATTTTTTATCAAAATCGAAGGCTAAAACCTTATTATGATCAAAACTATAGATTTTATTAAAAGCGCCATGTATAAATATCCTATCAAGAAATTACCAGAACATTTCATGTTTTATAAAATCGCTTTTACCTTTGAAAATCCGTATGAGAAGAGGAGCATTGGTTCCATTGCCAAATACGTTACATCAGATACAAAAGCAAATCCAAGACCAACCAGCGTGCTCACAAACTTGGGATCTTTTAATAAGTCCATCTCAACATTTTCACATATAATTTTTCTGAAATAAATAAAATATAGTTAATGATGTACTAATAGATGAAGCACTATCAATAAATAGCAAGATAAGGCAGAAAGATTGTCTCTCAGGGTGCCTTGTCATCTTAAAGAAATAGGTCAGCTCGATGATCCACAATGTTTATTTGTGCTCTTATCTCTGTATTTATTTGTGCATTGTACTTAATCTGTACCAATACTTACACTATGTTCATTTTCATCGATTCTTTCTTTCTCTTCTTAATGGGTCTTACTTCTGCCTCGCCTTCACCGGCTGGCAACATTCGCACCGCGAACTCATCGTAGTTTTCCTTTTTAATACTGCTGATATCACTTAATTCTGAAGAAAAACACATCATATTATTAAAGTTGAATTCAAACCATCGAATGAATGCTTCTTGAGGTTTAAGAATCATAAATAAGTTACTCACCTTTTTCAACATATTCTTCAGATTTAATCATATGCCACTCAACGGGATGCATGACTAGCATAGCAAACACTAGATGAAGGTCCACAGCCATAATTAATGCGAGGGTCCATCTTAGCCCATACTCCGAAAGAAGAAATGTCACCAGCATCGGGAAGGTTATAGACGCCAAACTGCTCATGGCTTGGTTGGCGCTCATCATTGCTGTTCTTTTCTTGGTGAAGTAACAATTAAATGCTGTGAAACTAACTGGTATCATCATACCGAATCCTGCCCCTGAAAAAAAATTTAAGCGTTAAAATACGGGCTCGACATGTTTTTAGTCTTTTCGAGAAACAAATTAATTTTTCGTAATTTTTATAGCATTGTATCTTTTTATCTTACCTCTAACTACTCCAAATGTGAACACTAATTGATAGGTCTTCTGAACGAATATTGTAAGCACATCGCCAAGCACAAAGAGTCCAGCTCC